CAGCAGCGGCAGCAGCAGCAGCAGCAGACAGAGCCGGGCTTCACTGACCACTGAGTGAAAACACAGCTGCTCAGGACATGAAAACCAGCTTGACTTTGAGGAAACATGAGTGCGCAGCCACACTCGGGCCGTGAGGCTGCTGAGGTGTTGTCTGCACGCTGACATTCCCACAGTTTGAACACACGGTTGTTTAGTGGACGGTAGGTTACAGCGGAGGCTGATGGCGATGTCGTTTAAAAAAAAAAAAAGGTTTCCCTCAGTGGTGTCTGGTGTCCTGCACAGACCTTTGAACAGTACATGCAGAAACTCAAAACCACGTCTTTTCATTTCATTCAATAAATGGTGGCTAGAAAAATGGTGGACACACTGAAAATGTACAACCAAACAGAAACAAACATGGAGGATCTCTGTGTACTTCACAAGTCAAAAAGCTGTCAGACAGATGTTAGAAATGGCAGTGGTGTATTCTCAATCATTCTATATATCATGAATTATTATAAAATAATACAGATGACTCTGTTCTATGAATTCATTCTCGCTCTCGGCGATTGTGCTGCTCCCAGTCGCGTATACTTTTTATCCAATCATATTTCAGCCTCATGTGTTGAAAGAAATCTGCCCGAGGGCCTTCAGAGCTGGTGGTCCGGGCGCTGGGAGCCTAAAATGAATGGCAATGAGATTGTTTCTTCAACCAATCAGATTTTGAGTTGGCATCCAACTGGCAAAGCGAGGATGGTGAGAAAACATACCAATCTAACCGACTTACACGCTTGAAAGTGACGTTTTCTCTGTGTCCACCGCTCCACTGTCGAGCGGACATTCTGAGTCTGTCAAAAATACAACAGGACAGACTGGACCTTTAGCATTAGCATGGATGACGATAGAAGAAGACTTGTTGTCACAGACCTGCTGAAAGTCAGACTGCTACGGCACAGGCCGGGCCGCTGACCTGATGTTGGAGCGCCCATAAATGTGGAGTTGATAAGGTTTTAAACTTGAGGTACCTGTATGGACTTCAACAACAAACAGATTATGGATTACAGTTTCAGAAATTACCCAGAGTTTCTTGGGATAACGTGGCTCATAAAGTCACTACGGGTGGATTTCCAGTGGGGAGTCCACAGCAAACCAAGATCACAAAGGTAGAAGATCTGAACGGGAATGATCTAACCAGCACTGAGGACACACGGCTCCAAGCTGCGCTCAGGTTCATGTGGTCTGCATGAACAGCTCCCACACATCCTGCCAGATCTTTTATGGACGTTTGGCCCCGAGCCAAAGAATCCAGAGCTTCTAAGGAAGAGATACAAAAACTGTATCAGACACATTCATCAAAGACACCGTGGCGGGACGACAAAAGGAGCTTTAATCTAGCGTGGACGATCCATTCAAGTGTCGCAGCACACACCTGTCAATACTGTCAGAGGGCAAGGCCAAAAACGTGTCTTTACTCTCAATGTGAAACCCATGTGATGTGAGTAACTGACAATATGTAGGAAATCTAACAAAAAGTGGCATAAAAAACAAAAAACCCCAAGCAAAATACAAATAAAAACGAAGCTTTTGCACTTTGACCAA